TAGGTCCAATGTGGTAAAAATAAACTGTACATATGATTAGTTTAGTCACTAGATGGTAAAATACAATTAGCACCCATTCTAAGGAAATCCATAAGGTGGATAAGTTTAGTGATAATCTGTATGTTAGTAGTATGAGTTATGCTCTTAATGTTGTCTATGAACTATATATATAAGTCGAAGTGTTTTATATACAAGGGCACTCTTGATAGATACACCTATATAAGTGTGGAAGTGAGACCGCTTCCTATGAGATGGACTTGTCTCTAGAGCACTTATGAAATCAGATATAAGTACAAGGCCCAAAAAGTGTTGGCAGCTAAAAAGACACCAAAGTTGAATATTTTTTGTGAGTTATATTATCGATCTGTTAGATAAGTAACCTGGTTCAAAGCTATATGTCAGCGAGGTATTTGGTGGCCTTTGTAGTGTCACTAAGTGAAAGTTCAAATCAAACGATACTTTCATGGTTTGCAAATAATATATTTCCTATATTATGTTTAGTTGATTTGAAATAGTGGAAGAAATTGTTAGTGTATTTGGTTTGAAAAATACTTAAGATTATTTCAAAACAACACTTTGGTTTTATTGTACTTTCTTAAAAGGGTGCGATTTGTATAGAGCCTAGGCTCTAAACAATCAAATTAGAGCCCACCTTCAAATAGTGTTGAGAAATATAGTTTTAATATTGAAAATCTTTGTGATAGCCTTAAAATATATTTTCATATTTATTTATAAAGTTTAAAGCTTTAAAATAGTACAAATCGACAGATCTATGAAAACTTGAAAATCTTAAAAATTGACGGTAAAAAATGTGTTTAAAAATACACTATTTCAAAATTTGAAATCCATGTTTTCTCATATCCATGCATATCGATGTTGAGATGATCGATTTGAAGATATTTGGGCATCAAAACAACCTCTTCTAGTGAAATTTTTTATGTAAGCTCAAATTTGATTGTTTAAAGCTTCGGCTCTGTATAAACTTTTCCCTTCTTAATAGAGAGAGAAAGAAGTGGGTTTGAATCCCATATTGAAGAGGAGAGAGTTTGTTGAGCCATATTTAAGGGCATTATTTCCCATGTAATATGCTTGAAGTACAAAGGAGAGAGAAGATAGATATGCAGAGCACGAAAAGCGTACTACGTGCACGTGCACGTGCATATGCGAGGGCGAGGGTGTGGGCGCAAGGGTGCTTGATGGCATACTTTGCACGTTCACATCAACGCATGATGTGCCCCTCGCCTGAGCACATGTGTGAGTCGGGCTTGTGGTTCGCTATCTTTTTGTGAGCCTGACTCGTAGGGGATCCAACGGTTTTCTAGCCGTTGATGCGTATAGGATATCCAACGGTAATCTAGTTGTTGATGAGATGGAGGCTTGTAGCAACTGCTATCAAGTGTATGTAACTTATAGCTGTTGCGGTGCATATAACCACATGTAACTTGTAGTTGTTGGGTGGTGCATGTAACCACCACAACACTAAATGGGTACCCTCATAGTGGTCTATAACAATGGCCTTCCTACCCATACGATTAGAATAATATTTTAGCATATCTCAATAGACTATTCTCTGCATTTCCGCCAAACAAATCAGTAAGCTAACTCTCTCTCTATACTTGATTTTGTTTCTTTCTCTCTAATTCAACAAGGGGTGCGGTTTATATAGAGCCGAGGCTCAAAACAATCAAATTAGAGCCTAACTTCATATAGTGTTGAGAAATAGGGTTTCAGTTTTGGAAATCTTTGTGATAGCCTTAAAATATATTTCCATTTTTAGTTATAAAATTTAAAGCTTCAAAATATTGTAGATCGAGAAGATCTATGAAAATCTTGAAAATTGACGGTCCAAAAATGAGTTGCTAGATGCACTATTTTCAAAACTTGAATTCCATTTTTTTCTTATGTCCATGCATCTTGATGTTGAGATGATCAATTTGAGTATAGTTGGGCATCAAAACAACTTCTTCTAGTGAAATTTTTGAGGTGGGCTCTAATTTGATTGTTTAGAGCTTAGACTCTATATAAACTTTTCCCTTCATCAAGGCTCAGGTGTCTATTGTGTGGATTCTAAGGTCGGGTGCAGCAGAGCTTAGGAACATTGTAAAAGACCTCCATGTTTTCTTGTATCCTGAGGACGAATTGCCCTTCTTATGCACATCAAACACTCCATCGAAGGGGGGCAACTATGGTCTGGAGATAGCACTCCTGCGTGCCCGAAAACAATAAGAGTTCGAGATTTTAATTTTACAAATCTTTACTATTTTCTGCCCCCATTTCACCCGCCAAAACTCTAACAAGACTTATCCCGTTAGAATGATTGAATCGGCCGGTTCACCGATTGGGCCGGTCAAACTGCTTTTGGGTCATGTCCCGTTAACCATTTCGATTCAAGCCTCAAACACCTAAAACCAGAAAAAAAGCAAAAAAGCCAGCACCCATCCTTTTCTCGCACTATATGTTTTTCTCATTAGAACCACAAAAAACGAGTAGCATAATGGAGAATGGAGACCTGAACTGGTCATGTGGAGCTTGCAAGTTCTTGAGTTGGACGATGATGTCTTTTTGTGTTTTGTTATGAGCAATCACTCCAGTCTTATGAGTAATCACTCCCGTGGTTCATTAAGCATTTGGTACGAGCAATGTTTCAAATCTCTCTCTTTCTCCCTCAATAAGAAAAGATACATTAATTTTCATTAAAGCTAATGTACTTTCCTACCTCATGCCAAGTCTTTTCACGAACTTTTGAGAGCTCGGATATCAGCCATTCAGAAATTAATTTAGACCGGCAATCTTGATCGATGGATTAGGGCGCCCTTAAAATTTTTTAAAAAAGATCTAAAAAATGCTATAAATATTTTTTTTGGTTATAAAAAAGAAGAAGATGGAGCACTATCAATTTTATTTGTCTTGCCAAAATATGTGAATAGGGAAATATTATTTTCTATTTGGATATATGTTAAACATATAAACGACAGTTTTGAGGCTCGGCCGGGACCACTCGACTCGCCCTCGTTCATGAACATTCAATTAACATACTAGTTTGTTTCGAGATTCGGGCAGGATTACTCGACTCGACCTCGCCCATGAACATTACTACTTGACTCACCCTCATCCCTGAGCATTCAATTAACACACTAGTTTGTTTTGAGACTCGGCAGGATTACTCGACTCGACCTCGCCCATGAATATTCAATTAACAGACTGGTTTGTGTGCATTTTTCTGATCCATGACGTTGAGGGTTCAAATCCCTTAAAAAATTTATTTAGGAAGAGGATTTGAATCTAAAACCTTTTGAAAAGAAGTATTATAGGAGCTTACAACTTTAACCAACATACCACCAGAATTTCTTTACAAGAAAAGGTATATATTTATTTTTATAACACCTTTCTAAAAAAATAAAATAGAAAATAAAAATTGAAAATGAATATGTTGAGGATTCGAACCCCAATCATGGAGGAATGCCAAGGGCAGTGGACCTGATCATCAACTCATTTAACACTCATGTCATAAGAAAAAGTATGTGGTTTCTATAAGGTTGCAACCTTAAACAATCCAATTAAGGCTCACCTCCAAATTTTATCATAACACGTAATTTTGGTAAAAATATCCTTAGGATTATCTCAAAATCTATTTTCCTATCGAATTATAAAATTTTGAACTCCAAAAATGGTTAAAATCAAGTAGATCTATAAACATATGAAAACCTTGAAAATGGACAGTCTAGATAATATATTGCAAGATGCACTATTTTTGGGACATAAATCTTTTTTTCTTTTCATATTCATACATCTCGATGTCAAGATAATCAATTAGAGGTTTCTTCAACATTAAATCAATCTTTTCCGATGGATTTTTGATGTGCATATATAATTCTACATTCTAAGATTGCAACCATATATAAATTTTTATGTTGATTTTTTATTTATTTTTAAGTTGAACTGTACTCTGGCAAGTTACTCGGACTCACCCGAGTAACACGGCTCGGGCAAGGGCCAAAGTACGTTAGATTTTCTGAATTCTGTTACAACCTATGTGGGAGAGAAAAAACAAGCAACTCCCTTTCAATATCAATTTTAGAAAGGAACAAAGGAAGAAATTACCTATTTGCCCAAGAAAATCCAACAAATTACCTTTTCCATATGAGTTATTGGGTTAAAACTGTACCAAAAGAAACGAAACAAGCAACCGTTCCTGCACCAGTGGACAGAGAGAGAAGAACCCAACCGCATTGCCTTTATTTGCTTGGATGTAGACTTAGAAAGAGATTGCGAGTGGGAGCACGTCCTATTCATGATATTTATTTTAGAAAAAAGTTTATATAGAGCCAGGCTCTAAACAATCAAATTGGAGCTTACTTCAAAAAAAGAGGTTATTTTGAGTTTAAAGACCATATGCCTAAATTCATTTAGGGACCATAAAAAAGATGAGTGATGCATACGATATGACGTAGTGAGAGTGATGCATATTGAATGATAGACCAAATAGAGTACAGAGAAATTATGCATGGACACTTCTTCCAGTCATTTTTAACAAAATGATTACATCGTCCATCTAAATTACCAGGACCACCCCTTATTCCAGGCCCCTTTTGTTTTCACACAACTACTCACTCACGTGTCACGCAATTACAACACGGGAAGGAGTACATATGTTTTCAAAAGCTTTTTATAACTATCTACTCTTATAGGAATCTACCGTCTATTTACTCGTTCGGCCAAATATATGCTAATGTTGCTTTTTAGATCTTAAATTTTGGGGATATAAACTCTACAACCTATCCAATAATTTCAGCAAGAAACGTTTCGTTCAATGCTGTAATTGTCAGAAGGGTAGGCAGTTGTGAAAAAAAAAAAAAGAATAAATGCTGATCATTGTAATTTATTTGAAAAATATACTCATTTTGTAATAAACAGGTGGGACCAATACCCACATCTGATTTTCTGAGTATAAAGCCATCAGCCCCTCATGCCACGTTTATCAATCTGTTCTAGAGAGCAACTAATCTGTCTCGATCTCTTCAAGAATTGGGTTGATCTCTCTCTCTGTGTCTCAATCTCAATGGCCTCACTCCATTCTGTCCCAAAATGGATGCCGAGCTCGAGCCCAACACAATCCACAAACCCTCTCCTCAGCCACCCTCCCTTCCAACAAGAATCCGAAGACCACATCTCTCTTGATGAAATTACTCCGAAACCATTGCAAAGAAACCCGAGCCTAAAAATCTCTGACATTGATGAAAATGCATCGGGCACCAGCAAGCGCTTCTTCCACCTCCATGCACCAGCTCTCCAACCAGGCAATATTCGCTCCGAGCCCACTTCTGGGAGGAGTGTCGAAATGGGCAGGACCCAGCACAAGTCGGTTCAAGTGGATATGGATCCACTTGGCTCGGCTGGTTCCGGTGTGTCACTAACGTGGACCAACCTATGTGTCATGGCTGATGGGAAAGAGGGTGGAAGCACAATTTTAAGGGGGCTCAATGGGTGCGCCCAACCAGGCGAATTTTTGGCTATCATGGGTCCATCAGGCTGTGGAAAGTCGACCCTTCTCAATGCACTTGCTGGTTCGAGGCTTTACTTTCGACTTCTTTTTGTTTATTTATTTGCTTAATACAAGTCCTTAATGGTTTAGGTAGGTTCTTGGGATTGGGGCTCGGGTGCCCTGTTTGGATGAACAGAATTTTAGGAACAATACTGTGTTTTTGTCCATCATTTTAAGCCCGGCCCAGCCCAGTCAACAAACCTTAAAAGACTAGGGCATGGGCCACAATAGCCCGAGAGCCGGGCCTAGGCCAAGGCGAGAAAGGGCCAGCCTGGTCCCTATTTTTTTTTATCTTATCTTTTTTATTTTGGTTTTCTTTAATTTTACCAGGCCGAAGGCTGGCCTGTTGCCTTTCCTACTAGTAGCGACTTGGCCCAATCAACCCGGCTTTAAAAAAAAACTAGAGCATGGGCCACAGTAGCCCGAGGGTCAGGCCTAGGCCAAGGCAAGAGAGGCCTGGCTTGGCACCTATTTCGTTTTTATCTTTTTTATTTTTGTTTCCTTTAATTTTACCCTGGCGAAGGCTAAAGGCTTGCCATGCCAAGGCTGAAGGCTCGCCCAGCCAGTGCTGGCATATTGCCTTCCCTAATGGGAATCGTCACAAAGCTGTCGACTCGGTTCCTCCCCATTTTTAGGGGAGCTTGATTTCAGAAAGCCCACGTATCTAAAAAGTAGTAAAAGTTAGCAGAAATGGCTTTACAATAACAAAATTCTAAATTGGATGCAAATAAAATAAGGAAAATTTCGTATAGAACCCTAATTTTTCAAATTATTTTATGGTAGGCCCTCTTTCTGCTTTTTTTTCAAGCCGCATAAAGAAATCTCTAAGGATTTACCGTACCTCCTCAACTCTTATCTTCATCTTTTATTGACTTTTTATCATAAAAATTAGCCTCAACAAATTATTTTATACCATTTTATCTCAAAACTTTTTTAACTCTCTTTTTCCTTTCCACCCATTAAAAACGTTTTTGGGTTGAAAAGGTTTAAAAAGATTTGTTGGGGCTAATTTTTATGATCAAAAGGCAATAAAATAGGGAGATAAGAGATGTGTGGATATGATGAAATCTTTAGAGGGTTTTCTTATGCGACTTAAAAGAAAAATGGAAGGAGGGTCTACCATGAAATAATACGAAGAATTAGGGTTCTATACGAAAATTTCCAAATAAAATATTTGAAATTTTAGGAAATAGAAGGTTCAAATAATGCGTTACAAAATGCATCACTTCCAGAACTTTGAATTTTCTTTTTTATATTCATACATTGTAAGGTCGAAATGTTCAATCAGAATCTCCAAGTATCGGAATAACCTTTTCCAATGGGTGTTTGAGACACACCTAACTTTTATACTATAATATTGACACCTTATATAAATTCTTCCTTCTTTAAATGAGTATCTTTAGTGGGGAGCCGTAGGTTTGTAAGCTATCATTCAAAAGATACAATTTTATTATTTTTCTTTCCAAATTTCATAATTTAAATAAGAACCCGTTCTATTTACTAATAAAATTAATAATTAAAATATTTCTTGGAAATATAAATCAATGGGCTCCTTTTAATTTGAGAATTTAAATTTAATGCATAAGGAGATAAACTTAACTCATGAGGACTCCAAGGATAACATATTTTCTAATTACCTAATTTCAAAATGCAAAAAATTGCTAAAAATAAATAAAAATGATAAATTTAAAAGTATTTTTCTTATTTTTCTTAAATTAAGAACTTAAAAGAAATAAAATATTTAATATTTACTGAATATTTTTCTTAAATTAATAGTGTCCACCGTCCTTAAGAATCCCTAGGGAATATTCCTACACCGTCGAATCCATTCACATTTTCGATTTAGTTAAATCTAACCCAATCTAGAAAAAACTGTCTAAATATACCAAACCTTAGAAAACCTCAAATCGGAACAACTTAGACACCTCCAAATTGGATCAGACTGCCATTAAAGATATCAAGAAGTGTCTAGTATTATCTGGGAAATTTTGGGCGAGATCGAGCCAGCTCTGCAATATGCTCCAGTTGGCCCAATGGCCGAACTTTTGATTCTACTTGTGGAAGGTGCTTTTTCGGTAGGTTTCTGAAGTCTTAAAACATGTAGAAGTTTAATTACTATGACCAGTCAACTAATCAAATCATATCATCGAGCCTAAAGATAGATCTAGGATTCCCAATTCTAATCCGATTAGACACCAATTTGAAGCCTATATATACCCCTCTAGCCTTCTACAAATAAAAAATGTAGAAAATTCTAACAAATAACCAAAAAAATGCCTTAGATATTAGAGTTCCAAAAATTCTTTGAAATTAGAGAGAATGCAAACTAATTATTATCAGTAAAGGATAAATAATATATCAAGATATTTCACTAATGTACCTAAAAATTGAGGTTCTTCTTCTTCTCTTCTATTATTTGCAAAACTGCCGAGCAAACTAATTTTTCAAACAACTACTCCTAGTTATTACACAAAATTTTAAAAACTTCGGCGTGTCAGGAAGTTCAAAAAAGAATTTAGGAGCTTGAGCCCAAACAATGGCAATCTCCATTACCTTGATTTTACATATAAGATCCTAATCACTTAGGACCACCTTGTATGAAATGTAAATGTCATACTTTTCCCTTAATATAACTATTGGGTCACCCAAATTGCCATCTCAATGTTCTGGTTTATCTCATGGGCATTTCAGCCATTCCCTTTCACTAAAATGGATATTATTTCAGTCTCTTTTTAGTTAATCGAAGAGGCTCTCAATAATATCTCATTAGAGGAAAGGGGTTTTAGAGGAGAAAATAAGGGCCAAAAATTTTCAGTGAGAGAGAAGTTTTGCCAGAAATATGCTACAAAATAGGGAACAGCTTAAGGATTATATGTTTTTATTTGCACTTGATAGTTCTTTTTGAATGAGGTTTATGTTTTTATTTGCACTTGATGGTTCTTTTTTCATGAGGTTTATGTTTTTATTTGCATTTGATAGTTCTCTTTTCATGAGGTTTATGTGAATTGAGAATTTATTATAATATGATTACTAGTCTCCTTCACTTGGATTGATTTGATTGTTAGGGAGGTTAAATTCTAATGTAGTGCAATATCAACGGTCGTAAACAAGCCCTGGCATATGGAACCTCGGTATGGACATACCTTGCTGCATTATCATTAGTTCTGGAATTTACTTTGATTAGGCTGCACACTAAGGGCCATGGTTCCATAAAATTCTTATTAGTATGTGGTACACCATAGGAACATCTATGGTCCATTTAGTTACAGAAGAGTCAAGATAAACTATAATTCTTGATGATGGGGCACTCAACTGGATATAGTTAATCTCGACCTTTCCTTATTGGGATGGCCATAAATGTTACTATTGTGTATGATATACTACGTGCATTATCATCATCATCATTTGAGCTTTATCCCAACCAATTTCTAAAAGGTTATGTTAGGATGCTCACACTATAGAGTATTTTATAATTGTACTCAATAAATTTTGGAAACTTTTATATCCTTGTTTTGTATATAGAGCATTTTTTATAGAAAATATTTCATACAAAACCCTAATTCCTTGTATTATTTCATAGTAGACCATCCTTCCGTTTTTCTTTCAAGCGGCATAAAAAAATCCCTAAAGATTTCACCATACCCCCTCATGTCTTATCTCCATCTTTTATTGACCTTTGATCATAAAAATTAGCTCCAACAAATCTTTTTATATTTGTTGGGACGAATTTTTTTGGTCAAAAGTCAATAAAAGAGGGAAATAAGAAATGAGGGGGTACGGTGAAATCTTTAGGAATTTCTTTATGCTGCATGAAAGAAAAACGAAAAGAGGGTCTACCATGAAATAATATGAGAAATTAGGGTTTTATACGAAATTTTTCTTTTATTTTTTTATTAAGGGTCTTTTTTATCATTAGGAAGGGTGTGACATCATCTACATGCTGTGTGATATCACCCATATCAAACACATTAGTGACATTTAATGCTTCATGTGAGTGATGTCATGCCCCAAATGGGTGATGTCACATCCTCTTAATGACCAAATATACACTTACTAAAAAAATGCTCCATGTACAAAACAATGGTATATAAGTGTTCAAAATTTGTTGAGTATAATTCTAAAATGCTAACATGTGCGAGCACGCTAATATAACCCCTTTCTGATATATATAGAACAATTGTTTCATGCAGGCTGGGCCGCATTTTCACAATATACGGTCCAAAGGTAAAAGCATCCATCATATGGTCCATCTAAAAACAATTGTAACAAACGGTCCAAATGTTTTTTTAATATAATTATTATTTCTAGTTTTCAAAATTTATTTATTTATTTTCATATTCATGATCTCCATATTAAAAATTACATATTTTTTAAAAGTTAGGATCAAATTATATTTAAAGGATATATTTATTGCCAAGCTCAGATTGTAAGTGGCCTTACCGCATGCTAACCGCGTCCATATATGTAAGCATAATTAATTTTTTGGATGTAGGCTTATGCGACCCAGGATGATACACTCATGAGCACTCTAACAGTATGGGAAGCGGTGTACTACTCAGCCCAGCTCCGATTGCCAAGCTCCATGTCGAGCTCTCAAAAGATAGAGGGGGCTGAGATAACCATTCAAGAGATGGGTTTACAAGATGCAATACACACAAGGATTGGGGCCTGGGGGGTTAAGGGACTCAGCGGTGGCCAAAAGAGAAGAGTGAGCATTTGCATTGAGATCCTCACGAGACCTAGCCTTCTCTTTCTTGATGAGCCCACTAGTGGGCTCGACAGTGCTGCGTCTTACCATGTCATGACTCGAATTGCCCGTTTGGCCCTGCATGATGATCGAACTGTGGTTGCTTCGATACACCAGCCTAGTGCTGAGGTCTTCGGCCTCTTCAACACACTATGCCTCCTCTCCGGTGGGAAGACACTGCATTTTGGCCGGGCTTCCGAAGCCAATGCCGTTTTTACACTCAATGGCTTCCCTTGCCCTTCATTGAGAAACCCCTCGGATCATTTCCTCCACACCATTAACACCGATTTTGACAAGGTAACAGGAATACGTTATTTAAAAAAAAAAAAAGTAGTGGGAATAGGCACAAGCTCTCTATCTTATATTTATATGGAACGGGCAGGTGGATGGATTTTTGAGCTGATACGGCCAAGGTTGAAAACACTTTACAATATCACTAAAGGGGTCAAAAGATTACAAATTACATTTAGAACATGCTTTTAAATTTTCATATCAAACAGATACTTTCTCAAATATAATGTTGAAAATTTCTCAAATTGCTCCTGCTGGGTATTTGGAAGCAAGAACAATTGGGATACTGTAGTATTTTATCCCCAAAAAACAATTGGCGTACTTTGGTAATTTTGTCCCCAAAGAGAAACTTATATCATTCGTTTAAACCTCTTTGGGGGTAAAATTATCAAATTATCCCTTAATATTATGGCTTCCCAACACCAAATAAAAGCAATTTAGGAATTTTTCAATATTTTTTATGAGGAAAAGCATGCTCTATAGTGTAATTCGTAACCTTATGACCCTCTTTATTGACATTCAACCACTGTTTTGATATTTTTCCAAAGAAAACGGTCCACTGACCCCTTGGGCACTAGTTATTTTTGGGTCGGGCCAGTCCATCCCTTGCCAAGCTCGAAAATATATATAATCTATATTTATACGATGGCCAAATCCAGCCCAGTACTTTTTCAGGCTGCATGCCAAGAATGCAATTCTTAGATTCGGACCTTGCCAGGGCCAAGCCTAGTTGCAACACTAGTGTTGGTGTGTGTTAGTCAGTGATGGTTGCTTGTTGCTAAGAAGTGGTCAACTTCCTTAGGATATTGAGCAAGGTTCCGATGCCGAGGCAACAGAAGCTGCTAAGGCGATTGATATCTTAGTCAACTCTTACAATTCCACCATTGCAAACCAAGTCTTTGCTCATGTAGCTGATATCTCCAAGAGGGTAAGACATCTCTCTCTTTTAGCGTTGAGAATTTTTCTGATCGGTCTGGATCCGGATCTAAAGTATAAATTTGATTTGGATCTGATTTAATCCAGATCCAAAACTACATATCGGATCCAGACCGAATGCAGATTCATATTAGTTTGAATTTTATCTATTATAAAGTCAAAATATAATAATAAAATTTAAAGTATATATATATATATATATATATATATATATATAA